GGGCAAACATATTTGGTTGAGGTAAGTCATGTACATGTATAGTTATGCAGCTGAGTGATGATGACAACTTAAAATTTCATAGATTGAATATTAAGGACACAAGTGAATCAGTGATATATTATTTATTTAGCTTTAACATTATAACATCATACTTTTAATAGGTGAACAGAAGAGTTGGTCTCTCTCCAGGAAAACACACCAGGAAATTCTGCTATTTGCGTGACTCTCAATCAATCAAGAAAGGGGAAAGCCATCGCAAGAACAAAGAATGCAAAGAGGAAAAGAATGCAACTGAAAGCTAAGAAGTGAGATTTTTAAATTTAAAGTTGTTAAAAGTATTACTCCACCTCCAACCTCTTTGTGGGGCTTGATTGTGTCGGACTACTCAGTCTGTCACATACCTAGAGCTTTACTGTATCATAATTTTTGTAAGGTGTATATAACGATAGTATTAAATGTTGACAGTAAAAAATTATTTGTGTAATTCATGCATACTTATATATATATTTACTTTGCCCTTCTTGATAAGTTTGGAAAATCAATTTTGTTTTGAAGTTTCAAATAGTTCAGTTATTGATATTAAAAATTTTACTGCCTTTATAGATGCCAGACTACAGCATGTAAAGAGATAAGAGAGGGGCCTACATATCAGTCTGGAGTTGGAATCTCTGATTCCAATACCGTAGTTGATGAAATTCCACCACCGTCATCTGCACCACAGCCACAGAGTTTGTCAACCAAAGACAAAAATTTTGTCGTCTTTGACCTGGAAACAACAGGACTTGGTATTGATTTCTATTTCTCTAAATTAAATCTTGTACAATTGATTTTAAGGAAAACTTCAGAAAAGTTGTCTAATATATTATAAATCATAAAAGAAAGCCAATGCTGATTTTGGTAAAAAAAAAAAAAAAAAAAGGTTAATGAATGCCATTGTTGATTTTGTTATTTTTTTTTTAATGAATGTCAATGCTGATTCTTTTTTATTTCAGCAAGAACATCACACATTCTGCAGGTGGCTGCCATTTGTGGGAAGGAGACATTTTCTTCCTATGTAATGCCTAAGAAGCAAATTACACCCTCTGCCTCCACAGTTACTGGCCTAAAGCTTGATAATGGAACCCTCTATCACCATGAGAGGAAAGTCAATGCTGTTTCAATTTCAAGTGCACTTGGTTCTTTTTTAAGCTTTATTGAGAAGCAAGGCAATGTTATTTTAGTTGGCCACAATATCAAAAGTTTTGATGTTCATGTTCTTTTTCATGCTCTAGATTCTTGCTCTCTGTTAGATCGAATGTCAAAATGTGTACAAGGTTTTTTAGATACCAAATTTCTATTCAAACTTGTCCATCCCAATTTGTGTTCATATAGACAGGAACATTTATCAGAAGTATTGTTAAATTGTACTTGCAATGCACATGATGCTGTAGAGGATGTTTCAGCTTTACAAAGGTTATTTGACACTGTTCATTTTTGTGATGATGAACATTCATCCTCTACATTTACATTTCAGTATGCTTTGAGTGTCCATAACTACCAGAAGGTTGTAGATAGAAACATTCCATCCTTAAAATGTTTAATTGATAAAAATGTTTTGAGTGTCAGAATGGCAAGGAAGGTGGCAGGTAGTGGCCTAAACTTTGATCGTCTCAGATTAGCACATTCTAGAAGTCCTGATGGAATTTATGATCTATTCACTGAGCAGTGTGACAACAAATCTGTCAGAGTTACAAAGTGCAAGAAAATTATTGATATTGTTACACAGTTTTTCATGTCTTTAAATGAAAGTTAAATGTCTGATCATTACATGCATAATCCCTGGAGTGTTGCATTCCTGTCTAACAAACATTGAGGTTATACGTACAAAACTAATGAAAGAAGATGATTATTAGTTAAATTATATGAACATTTATATTTTGCCATGAAAATGGATCAAGTTAAGTCATGTAAGAAAAAAAGTACATTCTTTCACTTTGTTCATGCAGTAATTCATTTTTAACTTAATAATCATTATATTTATTACATGTAAATTATTAATTTATCTTAACTTAATGTTTTAAAATTTATTTTAAATTTTATGGAATGTGTTTTTATATATTATGAAATTTTGTATTTACTCTTTCGGTTTTACTATTATTTAAACTGAGAAATGTGTGAAAATTGGAAAAAAGGATAGAGAAAATTCGAAATATTATAATTAAGTTTGTTTCCTTTTTCTTTAAAATGTCAATTTTTGCAGTTCAAAGTATCAGACAGGGTGACATGAAAAAGATTTTGTTAAGTACATCAACTTTTTTTATTGTACATCTTAAGGCGAACATAATGAAATATCGTATGAAATTGAAAAATAATGGAGGAAATTCAGGTTATTTTGTAACAAAATATCGCAATATTTTGATCATTGACACCCACTTTGTAATTTATTTTTATTTCTTTTAGGGTGCTTTCTATATGTATAAATCAACCATTCAGAGTTATCATCAGTCAAATTTTTAGAATATTTGAATGAAAAAAGGTTCATTTTTATGCATAAAATGTTATAAAACAGAGGAAATTCGAGTTGCAGAAAATAAAAACGTGATTGATTTTGGAAATGATTTATGTTATTTTTAAGATAACACTTTAAATAATAAATTCACATGATAAAATGTTTCATTTATGTGCTCTCAAAAAAAGAATATTGTGAAAGATTGAAGTAACCTTTAAAAATTCATATCTACAATGGTGAATTCATGCTATAATTTCATTGGCTAATAGGAAAAAAAGTAGGTCATTGACCTAGATGTTTTAAAGTGGATTTCGTCAAAACATACATATGTCTTACTAATTCAATAGCTGAGTTTTGATTATCATCAGTGGAATTTTTTTTTATTCTGAGTAAACAAGTACCTTAAATCGGACATTGTCGCTCACTGTTAAGGGAAATATACATGTACGTATCAAATTTTCAATGATATTTTGCAATAACATTTGTAAGAAAAAGAGGGGGTATACACCCCGGGTCCTACAGATTCCATCACCCAGAGGACAACCAACATTGATTATTTCAATATCTTTAAATACGAATTACAATGGTATTCAATGTATAACGACCATATTTTGTATCTAATACATGAAAGGTCCTATATTTGTAATTATGGTATCATTTTGAAGGTGTTATGAAATAAAAATACTCCACCAAAGAAATTTAGAAAATTTTGATTATTGTCAAATTAATTGCACCTTGAATTTTACATTGAAGTCTATGGACAATGCATGTGTTATTAAGATATTGTAAAAAGTAATTTGAATGTCATAAAAAGCTCTTGGTGAAAATATGCATACACTCTCTCTTTATTAAAATATGAAATAAAATTAATCATTTACCGCAGATATTTTGACGAAATTAAAATTTTCTTCTTTGCATCAAGGGCAGATAACTCTTCAAAAACTTTTAAAGTGCAAAATGACCGGTTTCTTATATGTTATCAGTCATGTGAATTTGGTTCATTTCACTTTCATCGTTATCTAGCAGTGCATTTTGACTAGTTTTAAATGATTCAAAATTGTTCAAAATCCCTTCATTATGCATTGAATACCTTAACAGTAATATAAAAGTGATGTAGAAAGGGGGTCGAGGTACGTTTTTTGTCCATTTTCTCAATTTATGGATATGCAAATGCTTACGGAAGAAAGCGTTATTTTAGGTGTATATGGTATTCTCTATTGAGAAGTTGATGGCTCGTTTTAATACTCCCCCTCAAGTTCTCTACGAAAGGCCTACTAAAGGCAGTTCAGAAATCGACTAAATGAAGAACCAAACCGGACCCCACTTCGACCAGATAAAAAAAATGTATATTTTTACTTAAAATATTCATTGAAGGGCTGGTCCCCCACTAATGGACCTTATTCACTCATCCCTAACCCCAGAACAAAATTTGAAGTTAAAAGAATTATCTTTTCGTGGGGACTAATCAAAGCTTTTATTCAGCTGTTATTTTCCCCTGATAATGCCTCCCCCTTTTTCAAAATCTATCCTATAAAAGAGCCTGGCATTATTTCTTTTTTTAATGGCAACTAATTATAGAGTAGATATAAAAAATTCCAAATTAATCCAACTGGTAATGTTATTTTAACCCTGCTTCTCTAATTTCATTTGGCTAGGACTTCAGCAAATTTAAACAAGTAAGATGGCATGAACTACTTAATGAGAATGAGTTCCTACCAACAATCATTTAATCATTGAATCATATAATAAAACAATCATTGCTAGCCACCTTCGAAGTACAATATTCACCTCGCCCTTCGGCATTGTACTCCTCAGGTGGCTAAATCATCGTATTGACCTCAAAATCAGCAATAATTGTATAATGTACAATGTAGTTAGACCCCCTCCCCTTTTTCGATCCAATTTAATTGCCTCGGAGCCCTAATGCATAGGCGTCGGGACCGGGGGGGGGGCTAGGGGGGCTTAGTCCCCCCCCCCCCCACTTTTTTTTGGCCAAGTTTGCCAAGATAGACATAATATAAGCATTGAACATTGGGGTGTAGGTTTAGTATCCCCCTTTCAAGAAGTTCGACCCCCCCCCCCCCCCAAATAGGATTTTTGGGTTTGGACAATTTTCAATTTTCCTTTTTTTTTGCTTGTCAAGTTTTTTTCACAGGTACTTGGGTCTTGGTTTGTAAATACGTATACCTATTGATATGTGTAATTTTTTTTTTTTTTTTTACATATCAATAGGTATACATATTTATAAACCAAGACCCAAGTACCTGTGGTTTTTTACAGGTTTGAATTTTTTTTCGCTTTCAATTAGCCCCCCCCCCCCTTTCAATAATTTGCTTCCGACGCCTATGCTAATGTCAAATATTTGCCGAACTTGAGAATCGTATTAGTTTGGTATCAAACGTCGTGCATCCGGGATAACATTATGTTACATGGGCGAAAAATATGTGCAATTTATGTCCTTTATGTGCTGCCCTATTCCGATAATCATAATAATGGAAATTCCATGAACTAGGCAATCGAAACCGAAAGTTGTTGTTTCATAAAATTAGGTATGTTAATTGACTCTTTTTTTTTTTTTTATTAATCTGCTTAAATACCCCATACATTCAAACATTAATGATATAAAAATATTGTAATGTGTGACTCATTAGTGCGTGTATTGTTTCAGGTGAAATGGCGTCTCTTCTGGTACTATTCTTGCTACATGCAGTACTCTGTTTTGCCGACGCTGCTCAGAATTTTCAGGAAGTGTCCGTTTGTCCAAGAAATGCGGACACATGGAAAATAGAATCAGACAAGAAGAATTGTAAGGGGGACACGCCAGACTATCTGTGTGCAGCAATAGAAAACAATGTTAACAGATACGGGGAAATTTGCACAAAATACGGGTTGTCCCCAGCCAGTAAGTAGGCCAGTGTGTCATAAATTAGGAGGCAGCGATTTAGCTCAACTAATTTTGTGCATGATTGTACCTCAGCAAACATAAATCTTTATGAAATACTATTATAAACCTGCATACAAAAAAAAGGGATTTCATCCGCACATGCATGTCTAGTGCCTGAGAACCTAAATTATGACAAAATGCATGCATATCAGATTATATTATCAGATTATGCACAATTTTTAGAAAATGCTTAAATGAAATTTCTTTAGAGAAGTGGACAGGCTTTCACCTTGCTTCTCTATGTCAATTTGCCCTGCAAAAGAGCAGTACCTATGCCCCGTTATGTGAAACAATTAATTTATGCTGTGGAACCATAGTTGTACATTTTAGAGGGGACCAATACATCCCCACAATCGATAATGTATTTTCAACTTGCAGGGTTTGAATTTCAATACTGTTGATCACCAAATTTTTGCGACACTTTAATTTCGCGAGATGGCCATTTGGTATTTATAAGCGAGACATAATTTTCACGAACTCTGATTATTGTTCTATATAATCTTTTGTACTACAAAATATGTCATTATGCAAGAATTAAATTTTCACGAGCAGGCTGTCCCGCATAATTACATGAATTAAATGAAGTTCTCACAAATAAAAAGTGATTTACATTATATATGTAAAACCTGCAGAATGTGAAAAGAATTAACTTATAGAAACTTTACAATCACCAAATTTTCCAGAAGTTTATAACATCAAAACTTACAATTTTTCTACACTTTATACAACAATTCCTCATGATAAATTAAAATCTAGACTCTTTGATATCATAGACAACTGCTTCTTAAATAAAAACAGAACTTGGAAATTTTCACATCTTGTGATTGGTCATCAGCAAAATTACTTCATTAAAAACCACTCTGATTGTACACACAAGTACTCTGAAGTTATATTAAAAGGATGCTGGAGTTCCTCATTGACAACTTTTATGTAGTCTTCGGAGACCAAGTTTTCCAACAAACTGTTGAAATTGCTATGGGCACTAATTATGCTCCTTTATTAGCTGACCTGTTTTTATATTCCTTTGAAGCAGAATTAATTCAAAAACTTCCAGAGGAGAAGAGGAAAACACTAGCTGTGGCTTTCAATTCAACATTCAGATATATCGACAATGTTTTATCAATTAACTGTAACCGTACAAAATTTATTTTCATTCATATGTTGACTCAGTATATCCCAATATTTACATTTCCAATGTCTTTGTCCGAGATAAAATTACAAATTGTAAAAATACTTTATTTCTACATAAATCTACTGGTTCATTGATAGGCGCGGTTAAAAAAAAATCACGTGCGGGGCGGGACAAATAGAGACAGAAGCGGGGCTATTAGCACGGGAATTTGCAGAATCAAGAGCATGTAAATATAAGGAATAACTGTCAGATTTTTTGGATTCATGACGATGATCAATCGATTGGCTTGCGTGATAATATTATGCATAAACACCTTCGGCGTTTATGCAAATTATCACGCAAGCCACTCGATTGATCACATCATGAATCAAAAAAATAAGACAGTTATTCCTTAAGTGAACTTGAAATAAAAGACACAACAGAGTCTGTTTCATATTTATCCGGTAGATATTTTACTGAGGCCAAACAAAAAAATATGTGTGGTTCTGGTTGCACCTCCAAAAAATTAGGGTAGGTAGGTAGGGTCAATTTTTTTTTTAACAAAATGATTTTCTTAATTTTTCTAAATAATACCCATCACTCCTTTGCAAGTGGCATTTAGATGTGGTGTGATAATATACTAGTCAATATTGGTAGGGGACACCTACATGCTACCTTGCTTTGGATTTAAGACTATTAAACACTTGCACTATGTTTTGCAAGGAGGCTGTCATTGCTGAAACTAAAACTTAAACCGGAGCCATTGATAGAAATCTGGGAAAATTCCAGAAAAAATATGAAAATTGCCGAAAAAAAAGTTTAGGGTCGGGGGTATAAAATAGGGACGGTTGGGTAACCGGAACCACACATATTTTTTATTTGGCCTGACTATAGACCATAAAGGCCAATTAACAACTAAATTGTATGACAGACAAGATGACTTTAGCCTTTCTATCATCAACTTTCCTTATTTATATAGTATTATTATACTTTCATGTTAAATACTAAAATCTGATTGGTTTAGACGCATTTAACAATCTGTAATGTTACCCTCAGCGTTAGCAACATACTTGACAACGGGTAACATTACGAAAATGTTACATGCGTTCAAATCATGTGCGTATGGTTCACTGTAGAATTCTCAAAACGTCGGTTGTGCGTTTGAAAGAAGCCGAATAAACGACGTCAATAAAAGCTTGCGTCCGATGTAGCTCACTTGAAAACAACAAACGACAGACGAAACAACCTTGCGAGTGCAAACTTTAGATGATAAAGGACTTTTTGAGTAGCAAACAAACAATAACGAGGTTGGTAAATCTTTTCCGAAGCTTTCTTTTTGAGAAAAATAGAAGCGGGGAGCTTGAAAGCTTTCTAAGCGTGAACTTGACGATCTCCGAATTTTTTTATGACATCCGAAATCAATAGGACATTCAGTATAATAAAATAAATAGTACACGTTTTTGAGGGTAACAGTTGAAACTGACACCCCTCGGAAAACCATTGTCAACCTCCGTTGACGCTTCGGTTGACAATGGTTTTCCTTGGGGTGTCAATTTCAACTGTTACCCTCAAAAACGTGCACTATCTATGTAATATTCCACTATCACCTGCTTATGGTGTTTATGTCTGACGCTCTAAATTATTTGCTACTTAAGAGCTTGCTCCAAGTACGATCAATTTTTAAAGTGAAGCATGCTGCTCACTGATAAGTTGATGTTACAGGGATTTCAACAGCCTCATTTCAAGTCAGCATTGCATAAATTTTATAGTCATTATAATGACCTTGTTAGCAAATATAACCTATCATTGGGTCGTATTTTGGCTGACTTGTTTCATACCAATTGTTAGGCCTTTGTTTTTGTACTGAATTGACTACAGATAGTTATGTCTACCTGATCAATACACAGGGCTCACGGCAGGTGTGACCGGTCAACAGGGGATGCTTTTTCCTCCTAGGCACCTGATCCTATCTCTGGAATTTCCAGGGGTCTGTGTTTTATGCCCTCTTCACATATTTGTATTTGTGGATTTTATGAGATCGATAATTGATCGATTGTTATATCTTTACCTTTTACATTGGAATGTCAGGATTGCAAGTTAAAAATTCAGTAACTCACAAAATTTTGCTAGTTGCTTTCTTGTAAGTTAAACTTTTTTTTTCCAGAAAAAAACTCAGCTCCATCCTGGTTTTATCCATTAGTTTTTTAACTTCCCTTTTTTCTGGATTGCAGTTTTTAAATAGGTTGATGGTGAACGTTTAGAAAAACAATCTCTCACTGGTAGATTGGGATGAGAAAATGCATTGGGATAGAGCAATGTCCTTCCAAAGACTTAAACACTATCCCACTCACTTCCAAGTTTAGAAAAGGGTGTAAAATTTTTAGAAAACAGTTATTAAAACATGATGTGGTTGCCAGTCTTCTCATGCAAACTTGCAAAGAAATATGAAAACAGTGGGCAGGCACAAGTTTGATAACAAACATTTCTCTACTGATTGTGAACTAGCTACCAAAACAGATAAGCATGCATGTATGAAAATGCCCAACAAAGTGCATTTAGCACATTATTGGAAAAAGAAAAAAAAGAAAGTACGTTATTTTATTCAAAATAATTATTGATGTGAAATAGCCTACAGTAATACATGTATTTTCATGAGGCTAAAAATGTACACAGTGTCATTATGCATTTTAAGTTATGTTGTGTTAATGATAAAAACCTTATATTTCAAAATTGTGAGTATTCTTTGGAAATTTCGAGTACATTTTTTGGTACTAGCAATTGCGAATTTACTGTTTGGGGAGTTTTGAGCCCTGACTTCTGAGTTTATAAGATCATCAATCTGATTTGTTTATGAACATACAGTTACATGTACATGCATGTACCCTAGGAAAACTTTATGTGGGAAAAATATTGTTCAAGTGCCACCTGTCAAGAAAGACTTGTATTTCATGAATTGTTAAAATCACAGCAAAAAGTGCTTATTTCCTAAAAAGTGAAGTGTACTTCTCTTCTTGGGAGGTCCCCTGTGTTATCACATATATCTACTATAAACATGATAAATATACAGAAAAACTCTGTTATAATGAAGTCTTGAGGACCTGTGAAATTACTTCTCTATATTCATAATTCATTATATCTGTATAACAAATTTGTGAAAGTATATATTTATAGCAAACTTGCAATATAGATTTTTTCCTACAAGTATGACTGCCACATTTATTTTAGAAGAATTAAATACATGTAAATTAAAGAAATGTAGTTAAAAAATTTTGGATGAATTGAATTTCAGATTTAAAATACTTACAAAAATAGTGTCAGTTCAATATTTTAAAAACTGACATCTTTGAAAATTCGCTGTAAAAATGTAAATTTCGTTATTTGTATCCTTTAGGGGACACAGAATCAGTTTTCTGTATCTTTAAATTTGGTTTATATCCATAAAACTTTGCCACATAACTTCTTTCAATTTCACAGATAAGTGTGCTGTGTTGAACAACCAGACACACAATTTGGACTCTGTAGACTGTAAAGCAGCATCAGGATGTCCAGCAGTTCCTTACAATCCTTCAGAGTTGTGGAAATGTAAGTAATCTATTATTCCCTCCCAACAAAGTTGGAGGGGATACAGTAATAAAGCTCTTGTGAATAGGTGAGTGTGTGAGTGTGAAATCCAAGTAAGACATAATGTACATCAGGATCAGTGTGCTCTTTTGCTCTAGTTTGCAGTGCCTTCTACATGTATATATAACTTTCATCTGATTCCACAGAAATTTAATTTGTAAAAATGTACATAAGTAGGGACACTGAAGGTAGAATTAGGACAGCTGCAATATTAGTTTTCACCAGACAAATATTTGTCATCATCATGTTTGGTTAATTATGATTAGTTTAGTTGATTATGATGTTTAAAATAAGGAGAATAGGAACTTGGATATTTCCTTATAACACAGTCATTATGAAAGGTTAATTGCTAGGTTTTGATGTTCTTGGAAAATATATGGCATATAGCAAATTTATATCCATGATGACTAAACTGTCATGACTGTTTTTATCAACCCCAGAAGGGTAGAGTTTAATTTTAGCAATTGGCTCCTAGCCAGTTTATATTTATTTATTTTTTATATAATACATGTATAAAGCAATCAGATTCTTATTAGGTTATCAGTCTCTCTGTGCCTAGAGGCAATGCTATATGTTTATCTGATTGATGATACATGTATGTATATATATGGTTTGAGTCATTAATTGTTCATCATAAAATTTGATGTTTTTATACTTGAATTGTTATGATGGTTTTTATTTTCATCTCAAATAGCAGTAATAAGTACTTGAATTTTAATGTAACAAAAAAGATCATAAATCTTTGCATATATTTTTTTAAAAGTTATTGTAGTGTTTATTAACTTACATCATGTATGCATGTGTACATAAAATCAAGACTTCACAAAAGTCACTAGCTCCATTTTAAATAATACGTAAAAAAAAAAAAGAAACATTCAAAACAATTTTAAACAAAACAAAATAAATTTAAAAAGCAAACAACTTCCTGCTCCCCCAAGATAAAAAATAAATACTAACCCAACCCTCTCTCCCCCCCCCCCCCCAAAAAAAAAAACCTCTAACATTTTTAGCTCACCTATAAGCTGAAAGCTCAAGGGAGCTTTTCTGATCACCCATTATCAGGCATCCATCTTTCAAGCTGTCTGTCTGTATCTAAACTTTTCACATTTTCAACTTCTTCTCAAGAACCACTGGGCCAATTTTAACCAAGTTAATACAAAGCATCCTTGGGTAAAGGGAATTCGAAATTGTTAAAGTGAAGAACCAAACCTTCTTCCAAAGGGATATTATCAAGAAAAAGCCAAAATAGGGTAGGGTCATTAAAAAATCTTCTTCACAAGAACCAATGGGCCAGAAAAGCTAAAACTTATTAGGAAGCAACCTGAGACATTTAAATTCTAAACTGTTCAAATCATGTCCCCCAGGGGGTAGGATGAGACCACAATAGGGGATCAAATTTTTGCATTGAAATATATAGAAAAAAACTATTAAAGTTTAAAAATCTTCTTCTCAAGATTCACTGGAGTAAAAAGTCTGAAACTTATATGAAAGCATCTTAAAGTAGTGTAGATTCTAAATTTATTGTTCAAATCATGTCTCCCTGAGATAGGGAAGGCCAAAATAGGTGAACAAATTTTTACATTTAAATACATAGGAAAAATCTTTAAAATCTTCTTCTCAAGAACCACTTGACCAAAAAAGCTGACACTTATATGGAAGCATCCTGAGGTTGTATTGATTCTAAATTATTCAAATCATGGCCCCCGGAGGTAGAGTGAGGCCACAATATGGGATCAAAGTTTTACATGTACATTAAAACATATAGAGAAAATCTTCTTGAAATCTAGTGGACCAGAAAAGCTGAAACTTATGTGAAAGTATACTGAGGTAAACTAATGTAAATGTGCCAAAGTGTGACTCAGATGAGCTGTGTGGACCATGGGCCTCTTGTTTAATATAAAGTGAGTAATCACATAATTAAATTCTTTAAAAAAAAAAACTCCCCCCCCCCCCCCCCAGTATATATAAGCAGATAAAATAGGCACATGCATGCAGTTATAAAGAACAAGGATATGTCTTTTCCAAAATTATGAAAATTGTGGCCCCATGAGGGTCAGGTGCTTTGGTGTTGGGGAAGGGGGTATTTTTCATATAGGAAAATAATACATTACTTCATTAAAAATTGTCTTCTTTGCTCCTTAAAGCAATTAAGCAGACAAAATAAGTGTATTGTTATGATGAGCAAGATCGCCTCTTCAAAATTTGACTTTCATGGCCCCTGGATCTGGTGTTAGGATGGGACTGTATTGATCAGATAGTGAAAATGGAAAAATTCTTTGAAAATCTTATTCTTTGCCCCTGGGTATTTAGCAGACTAATTGTATGGTTACAGGGCTCAGTGTTGCTAGTAATTAACTCACAAATGCACGATAAGGACATACGCAACATACCTTACCTACTGATAATTTTTCAAGATATTCTTAATTTAGGATTATAGTGCCATCAGATGTTCGTAGACAAAAAATCAGCATGCATTACCAGGGGTTTTGAAAAGATATCAATTGATGAAAATTTCTGTATAATTCAAAGAAAAATGTACAAAAATTACTTAACATATATTCTAAATGTTTTGTTTATCAAAACTTGTTTTAGAAGAAGTGTACAATAGCATATATAGACATTAAAATGTAGCACACATTTCCTTTAAGTATTGGAACTCTTCAACTCCAGGGAAAAAGACAATAAAATTCAAACTACGTTGCGTATGTCCTTAAATTTTGAGTTTCTGAGTGAAATGAAAAAAGGCTACCATTCTGCAACCAAAAATATATGAGAATTTATAATAAGGCCTTTTAAATTTTTTTTTTGTGGACTCATGGAAACAAGGATTGCTTGTCTTGTTTGGATTTTCCATCCTATATGTCCAGAATTTATGTACAGACATCCACTCAGGGGAACATAACATTCAGGCACATAGTATTTGAGAGGGGCTCAATCTGTTTTTTGTCCAAAGTAAAAAATAAATTCTTATATTCATGCACCTGGAAGGCCATGTGTAGGTAAATGTGTTTTTTTTTTCTACAGTGTTGGACCTCAGCCAATCAGAGCTAAGAATTATTTAATCATATAATTAAGTTATAATTATTTCTCCTGTTTTCATTCACCCAACTTAATTTGATAATGAGGTGGATGTGTACTGAAAATTGTCGAAAAATAGTTGGACTATGATTTTAGAGGTTTAGGACAGAATGGCCTAGCTATTACTTTTCTGATAAATATGCCAGGTGACGTGTGTAATGACTTATTTCAATTTAAAATCCCCTGCTTCAGAAGAGATGATTTTTTTCTAGAAAAAAAATACTCAATTATTTTTGTTCAAAGAGTATACTGAAAGTATGTGATGCAAGTGAACAGTACAGTAAGTTGTATGATCATATTTATTATGATGAAGTATCTTCTTTCTACACAGTTCCATCTTGTTCAGTGATTTTTTGTTTTGTTTTGTTCACTTCAAAGGCATCTGTCCGAGAAATAGATGTGTGCAGTCATGTCCTTAGATTAGACGGTAAATGTGATAATTGGGAAAAAATGCTTTCTGATATAGGACTGAGAATTTTAATACACTGTACTATATAGGCCACAATAATTGATTACTGGTATCTAAAAATAGAATTTAGTTTTGTAAAAAGGGCACATTATAAACACAATTATTAAAAAAAACAACTGAATATTATTTTTATTTTTTAAGGTAATTTGAACAGGGTCACGGTCACTGGCCATAAAAATATATATTCTTGTTTTGGCCATAAACTTTGAAGAGAAGAAAAACATTAGTTGATTACATGTATACAGTACTTAAGGCAAAAAGGTTGCTTGTGAACAAAATGGCTTGATCTTAGACTTATAAGTACCCTGTATGCTATGACCCCAAAGTCATAAAGTTCAAAAATGATATTTTGATGCTTGCATGGATTGTGGATGGTTATATTTTTCGAAGTTAACACAGAGGTAGATGTCACCACCTTTAACCAATGAATCTAACAAAAATTCAAGCCATACAAATTTGCAAAATAACTTAAGCAAGAACAGAGAGTTCTTTTTCAGGGGTTGAAATTAGCGGGAAATACTCACAAAATGCGAGTTGAAATTAAAAAAAGTAAAAATAGTAGACACTCGAAATTTTTGGCGAGTGGTGATTTTCGACTGCAATTGTTTCGTATCTGGTTTTTTTCAGGTAATGTGTCCTTTACTTTTTTGAAACTTTAACAGAGTCACGACGATGCTTAGATATCATGCTGATTAAAGGAGCCGTTATATCCGTAATTTTTTTTTAATATTTATTTAGAAAATCATAATCAAACAAATACTTTAAAGGTCACAGAAACAATATATTTTTTTAATGTAAAAACATTGATGACCAGGCTTCGGGGCCACCAATGCTGAGATTTTCTCAAATCTGAGATTTCTCAGAAAATTTGAGTTTTTCTCACCGAACTGTGCCACCAATGAAATATTTTCTCAAACTCAGACTTATCTTTTGAGTTTTTTCCTTAAATCTGAGATTTTTCTCAAATCTGAGATTTCTCTGAATCGTGTGTGCCACCAACGTTTTTTTCGACTCAGCTGAGAAAAAATCTGAGATTTCTCAGAAAATCTTGAGATTGGTACATAGTAGTCTCAAATAAAATCTCACAGAATTATTTTATGGTAAAATGGTTGCAAATATTATGACAGTGGACACGTCAATCCATGAATACATGAAATTAACGTGCAAACACAGAGAGCATGTTTATTTCTCCCAAAACAAGATCATACGTTTTTAAGAAAGGGGAGGAGGGGGGGGGGTTCTTACGCTTATGTAAAAAATGTCATAATATTGTCCACGCAGTGAAACAATGCACTTGAAACTATATCAAAAGAAAAAAAAATAAGGAATAAAAACAATATTCTTGTGACACGTTTTACATAACATACATGTATATCTTCATTCATGCAAGAATTATTTTCATTTATTAATTAAATTCATATTTTAGTGTGCTATTTATGGTTAGGCAAATTTATTAATTCACATTATATATACATGTATATCAGAAAAGAAAATATGATTAGATAATATTAAATCTCCACGGCCTCTTCTTTGTTCTTTCTCCGGTAGTTATTTTTTACTTGTGCAATATACGTACCTATTCGTGTAAATTATACGCAAATATTAAAAGAACATTGTTTAAAATTCTGTGTAAAAATATTGCAATGCTTTCACTAAATCTATAAAATTCTTAATTGAGAATAGGGATCCAGGAATTCTTTCCAGTGTGTATGTGTGTGTGTGTGTGTGTGGGGGGGGGGTCTATCCAAGTAAAAAAAAAATTCAACCCAGAAATTTTTTGACAAGCAAAACTGCTTTCCCAAAAGTATCAAACCCTGAAAATTTCTTGCAAAGAAAAAAATCCATTTCACAAACGTGAAAAACCTATTTTGTTGTGGTAGTGGTGGGGTCCATCCCCTGCGAGACAATATTCATGACTTAAAGAACTTTTATGAGTTGTTCATCATTGTTCATGAATGCTCATAAAAGATTCATAATAGTTTCATAAAAGTAGTTCATGAATTTAATTCATGAACACATTCATACTGAAAAAATTTATACTTCATGAACAATGATGAACCTTTATGAAATTCGAAAATCTTCAACATTTAAGTAGGGCTCCGCGTAAAAATCATGCAGGTAGCACAGAAAAGGCGCTACATCGATAATCTGCAAATTCATTAAAACTGAGTTTAATATATTCATTTGGGTCTAAAATGAATGATAACAGATGGATTTGTAATAATTCTTCTTTTTTCATATAGCTAGGGATAGGGTACTCCAGGGGTAATTTTGTATGGATAGTGTGTAAATAGTGCATATTTCAGAAAATAATTTCTTCTAAACCCAAGAAGATGTATAAAATCTAAACACATAATTACAGTGAAAATGGAAAGTGTAAATTAAATTTACTCTAATATTTTTGTGCAAACGAAGGATTGAAAAGATACAGGGTGTTAAAAATCTGGAATTTGTTAAGATTCTTCATATGAGTTATCTCCCTTAGGAAATTTATATAGGTGGCGGTAGTAAAAAAAAATGGCGGCCTCCATGGAAAGCTGTACTCTGCAAAGTTATTTTGATGCATCATGTGGTGTTTATTGCAAATATCCGTGTGAATTGAGTAAAAATGATTGAAAGGAATTTACAAGAACAGATTGGACATAGAGCTCGTTTAAATTAAGAGGGAAAAAAATCCGTGAAACGAGAAAGTGTAGTTTGGGAATATTACTGTCATCGTGTTGATCAGGGTATCGGCAATTTTCCTTACTACTGACATCAGTATGGTCTATGTCGGAAGTTTAGCTTCTAAGTTAATCCACCGGAATCCAAGAGTAAGCCCTCAGAGAGGAGTTGCAATCCGATTGTGTCAGCTTACTCAACTTGGAGAGGGAAGATAATGTACCGGCGCCACCGGTACATTTGGACAGCTGTTTGAACAGCTTGATAGGTAGGATTTAATTTAAATTCATTTCTTATATATGGTTATTGATATTTTATACAGTAAAGTATGTATTGGGAAAATTGTTGGGGATGGCCAGTTCCTACATATATCAATATCATGTCCATTTTGAAAAAAAATGACATCTTACACATATATATGTTAGAATAATGTTACTGTGTCTTGGGACAGGCCCTGACCACAGTTAGAATGCCTTCCATATTCCCGCAATGTAGCAGTAAATGGTGGAAACACTCTGAAATGATTTTGGAGAAATTAAATGAAATTGCATTGAAATATAACCGTCAAGTTAATAATAACAAAGTTAACCTTTTTTGTCACAGGGATACCTTTCACCCCCAAAAATTAATGAGTGCGGGACGGTTCCCCCCGAAAGACCATTCGCGCTGAGACGTTTCGCCCCAAGACGGTTCGCGCCGAAGATCAAGTAATCAATTATGTGGTAATTATCACTTGTTAACAGCAATTATTAACTTCTTAATAACTTTTGTACTGTGCTATATTAATCCAATCCATTGGTTCAATCAATAAACCAATTTATATGGGATATACTAAAGACCTGACACTCTGAAGACCTGATTGAGATAATTTTGCCTGTATGGGGGAAATATTAATAGATGATGCATACAAAAATACACTTGTAGAGAATAAAAACTGAGAATTTATCTCTATATCATGCTATATCCCCCCCCCCCCCCCCCCCATAACCACACTAAAATTTTAAAAAAAAATTGTCAGACCTGATTTTTTTTAAATGAATTCCTATTACTTAAAAAAAAGAAGAAGATTTTTCTAAATGACCTGATATTTTTTTATGATGGGAGAAAACAGCAACTCGTGATTATTTTAATGACATGATGATTTAAAAAAAATTTATCTATTTTGATGTAACAGGCATAGAAATGTCACTTGTGAAATTAGTTATATGAAAAGATTTTTTTGAGAAGTATATTTTTGATAAGTACTTATCACGCTTATATAGCATTACTCAAAATCGCAAAGAAAATTGGAGTCAGTGTGCATCCTAGCTATTGAAAATAACCAGAAGTCTCTGATGAGACTGTAGCTCTACTGGTCTGTACATATAACAAAGGAAAAGTAGCACTTGGATTTGAAACTTTGCAACATGCAGCAATAAATAGAATAATGTATCTTAATGTAGTCTACTTGTGCGCCAAGTTATATTGAAATCAGACTAAAACTGAGGGAGGAGTAGCCCTTTAAAGAAATTTCACAGAAATTTCTATTTTTAGTAACCATGGCAACACCATTCATCGAAATCAAAAACTGATGCACTTAATTATGCATCTTAGTGTAGTCTACTTGTTTGCCAAGTTATATTAATATCAGACCAAAACTGAAGGAGAAGTAGCCTTTTAAAGAAATTTCACAGAAATTTCTATTTTTAGTAACCATGACAACACCGTTCATTGAAATCAAAAACAGATGCACTAAATTATGTATCTTAGTGTAGTCTACTTATGCGCAAAGTTATATTGAAATCAGACCAAAACTGTAGGAGGAGTAGCGTTTTAAAGGAATTTCACAGAAATTTCTATTTTTAGTAACCATGGCAACACCGTTCATCAAAATCAAAAACCAATGCACTAAATTATCTATCTTAGTGTAGTCTACTTTTGTGCCAAGTTATATTGAAATCAAACCAAAACTGTAGGAGGAGTAGCGTTTTAAAGGAATTTCACAGAAATTTCTATTTTTAGTAACCATGGCAACAATGTTCATCGAAATCAAAAACCGATGCACTAATTTATGTATCTTAGTGTAGTCTACTTATGCGCAAAGTTATATTGAAATCAGACCAAAACTGTAGGAGGAGTAGCGTTTTAAAGGAATTTCACAGAAATTTCTATTTTTAGTAACCATGGCAACACCGTTCATCGAAATCAAAAACCGATGCACTAAAGTATGTATCTTAGTGTAGTCTACTTGTGTGCAAAGTTATATTGAAATCAGACCAAAACAATGTCTCCCCTGTTGTCAAACTAATCTGACTAAATCTTACGTTGTCCGTGGAAATATATATCTACTGCGGAGGCATACTCCCCATCAAGGTCTCATCTACAGAGAGAACAAACAAACACTGGCAGAAGTTTGAATGCTGCACAGCTATAAAGTGGGTGGTGCTTTTTCTTGATTGATCATGTCACAAATCATTTAGAGAACTCGACAGGTTCTGTATTGTAGATACAAATCTGGGGGCGGAGACTAGTGCTATGCACTCGTCCACCCCCAAATTTGTATCTACGATATAGAACCCGTCTCATTCTCTAAATAATACTTATTGCCCGGTTTGTTTTGCTACATAACCTTGCTAATACACATTCTTTCATTAAAACGGGTCTGTAGGAGAATATCATCTTAACAATAGAACATTTTATCATCATGTAAGACTTAGTATGAAACATTGTCTGTGCTCTCATCATTAATCAATACATGTCCCATACAACAACCATTATTTAATGTGGCCAAATTTAAGGGATTCAGTGGGAAGGCCCGCTTGAAAAATTCTTTGTTTGAGGTTGCCGACCTATAATTTTTAGAGTGGATAGGTAGTTGGTTTTTTTTTTAAAAATAAGTTATTTTTCAGACTTTTATTAGATAACAATTTATAGAGATATTCATACTTCAAGGGTTACTTAACATAAATAAGCTTCACTTGATAAAAACAAAGATAAAAAATAGAACATTTTCAATATCCCGAAAAACTGAAACTTAAAAAAAATAATAATACAAAATGGCTGAAAAAAAAGTTTGGGTCAGGTGCATTTTCAGTGCATGGGTAGGCAACTGCAAACAAATTAATTTTTATTTTAGGCCCCTGGTTTATGGTAATTCAAATTGAAAATGAACATGTAAATTTTACTAATTAAAAGAAGTAAATGCTTTATGTGATAGGTTTTGATTTTTTAGCTCACCTGAGCCAAAGGCTCCAGTAAGCTTTTCTGATCACACTTTGTCAATTGTCTGTTGTTGTTCCAGGTGTCATTGTCATCTTTGTTTAAAACTTTTCACATTTTCATCTTCTTCCAGAACTGCATGGCAAATTTCAACCATATTTGCCACAAAGCATCCTTGGATGAAGGAGATTCAATGTTGTTCAAATGAAGAGCCTTGCCCTCTTTCAAGGGGAGATAATTAAAGATTAGTGAAAATTTAATGAATCTTTCAAAAATCTTCCTCTCAAGAACCACTGGAACAGAAAAGATGAAACTTATGTGAAAGCTTTATTATATAATGTAGTGGGAAGTTTGTTCGGATCATGACCCCAAGGGATATGGATTGGCCGCAATAAGCAATCAAAGTTTTACATATAGAAATATATATGTAAAAAACTTTATCAGTCTTTTTCTCATGAAAAACTGGGCCAAAAGGGTTGAAACTTTTGTGAAAAAGTGGCGGTAGCATGGGGCTTTAATGGGTGGTCAAAATTTTACTTTAAAAAAATGTAGATACTAGGTAACAATCTTTAGAAATCTTCTTCTCAAGAACTAGACATACTGGTAGTATAGGGCCATAATGGGGGATCAAAGTTTCACACTAGATAGTGATAATTCTTCTTTTTAAGAACAGCAAAGCCATGATTAGTCATACAGATACATGTATATATTGAAGAATCCTCAAGTAGTGTAGATTCAAATCTGTTGAAATCATGAACCCCTGGGATAGGGTAGGACCACAATGGGGATCAAAGTTTTACATACAAATATATATTAGACTCAGGTGAGCATTGTGGCCAATTGGCCTCTTGTTTGCTCTACCCATGTCAACATGGCACTAGTCAGAAATGATAACTAAATAACAAAATCAAGTATGGACAGAAAAAAAATCAACCAAGATATAAAAACCACCAAAAAGCTTGATTTATTTAATAAATATATATAATTTTTCAGACAAGGCTGTTTATGCACATTTTTTAACATTACTGATGGTATAATTTGTAAAAGATATATCACTGAAAATTCTATTAGTCTTGTCAAGCAATTGCTGACTTACATTTGACTGGCCCAACAACATTTTTAATCTGAATAGGGTTGTTAAATAGGTATATTTAGTTGTCTTTATACCTATCTCTCTCTCTCTCTCTGTATGTCATATTGCATATAAATCTAGATGAAAAATATTCCTTGTTGTTTTTCAAAATGATCAAGAACTTGTTTGACTGAAGAGATAGAATGAAAAGGGAAGACCCAAAAGTGTTTTATAACAGGTACTGTGAGAGTACCGGGTATTTGATTTTGTAGTTTTAATTTAATCAGTAGCAAGATTACAGAATTCATAACTGGTTACAGTTTAAATTATAATATGGTTAAAACCTGAGACATAAATGATAGAAAATATGGTAAAGATATTTTACAAATTTCATAAGTTAGTAATTTGAATTATATACTTTTGAAATGAAACCCTATATCATTTTCACAGAATGCACAAGATGGTTTGGATCACAGTTATGAAGGAAAAGCTGACAGTATTTCTGAGACAGCAAGAAAAACATCATTGCACACCACCAACTAATAAGACTCCAAAGGTGGGGGACCACATGCCATGCACATGCAACCATTTGAGATTTTACTTGAAATTAATGGATTACATACATGTAAACTTGAGATTCCATGTAAAGTAATTTATAAATTTTAAAAAAAACCTTTAATACCTTTAAATCAATGTAGAACAATGAGTTTTAATGTGGTAAATGATAATTATATGTAACTATTATTTTAGGAATAACAAAGATTAGAGTTTAAAGAATGGATTCAATGCTGGTACTTGGATAAAGATAATCAGGCATGGACTCTCATCTCCTATGGATCTTCAGCACCTTTAGGTTACAGTTTTATATTTCACTAGAAGAGACTCATAAATAAACAAAGGACAGTCAGTTACTACAAAAGAGAAGCATCGGAGATTAGTGATATTTTGTTCAGCATTACTGCATCTTACAAAGATGTAAACTATTAAAATATTGTTTACATCTATCAATTAATGAATTTGATACATGTACCAGTAATTAATAATTTTGATGTGGGGTAAACTGATAAAATTGAATGGAAAACAAGCAGATGACTTGGTAATGATGTGTAAAAAACATCATTCATTTAATTAATACATGCAATTGCATGCAGTTAAAATTCGGTCAAAATTCTTGTGGTGTATATTGAAAGGTGTAACCAAGAGGGAAACATAAAATGATTTTCATATTATCATTAAAATAAAAGTCAAGTTGTATATTATACAATTATTTCTGTTTTTGAGGTCATTATAATGGCTTGCCTAGATGTATGCATTCACCGATCCTAAAGAAGGAAGTATTAATATTGTCCCTCGATGGTTGTTGGATCAATATATTAATCCCCCCCCCCCCCCCAAAAAAAAAATAAATAAATGCAATTTCAATTTTTGTATAATACCATATGTATCATACCCATAGAGTATGGTGTGTACAAAACAAGCGTGACCTTTTGATTTGGCTGTTGGACTTTAAACAAAAAATTTTAGGCTGAAAAAAAACCTCAAAAATGGGATATGATACTGTTTTTTTAAATATGGATTATCTCCCTTTTCAGCTTAAAATTAGAACATTTTACTGGTCATGAAAATATTTTGATTAAATGAAAAGTAAAATTGTGTTGTATTTCAAATTGGAAAATTGAGAAATTTTTTTGAAATGTCAATTTATTCTTACATGCATACCCGGTATATATTCATGGTATGTGTATAGGACATATTTATTGTACTGTAACAAAAAAAGGGAAATTGTCATTTTTTATATGAAACTCATCAATCGTTTTGGGTAAATAATAATCATTTGCTTAAAAATGTTTTTATTATTTTATTTGCTATAGGGTATGGTGTCTATGAAATTAGCATGACCTTTTGGTAGGGTTTTGTAGGGTTTTTTAATTTTTTGATAGCTGAAAATCCTCAAAAAATTGATATTTTGCTGTTTTTGTCAATATGGATTATCTCCCTTTTCAGCTTAAAATTGGAACATCTTACAGGTCATGAAAATATTTAGATTAATTTAGATAAGTAAATAATTGTGTTGTATTTGAGTTTGGAAATGTAAAGAAATTGTGTTGAAATGTCAATTTCCTTTTACATGCATACATATACATGTATGGCATATATTGTACTGTGACAAAAAAAGGGAAATTGCCATTTTTTATATGAAAATCGTCAATTGTTTTGGGAAAATAATAATCATTTGCACAAAAATGTTTTAATTATTTTATTTTCTATAGGGTATGGTGTCTATGAAACTAGCATGGCCTTTTGGTTTGGCTGTAGGGTTTTTTAATTTTTTGATAGCTGAAAATCCCCAAAAAATTGATATTTTGCTGTTTTTGTCAATATGGATTATCTCCCCTTTTCAGCTTAAAATTAGAACATTTTACTGGACATGGAAATATTTTGATTAATTATGAAAAGTTACTATTTGAGCTGTATTTGAATGAGAAATAAACAAAAATGTGATTTATTGTCCGATTTTCTTTTAATTTCATATGAAATATTGATATGTTTGCCTATTTTTAGAGGAAATTTCAGCCATATTTTACCGAAAACAGTTTAACTGTTGCCATGGCAACCAGACACAGAATTGATAAAAAATCATTTTATTTTTTGTAGTATCTTAGCATACTCTACCAACATGCAAAGTTTGAAAAAATTCTGAAACCCCCCATGTATCACCCCCTGCATGATTTTTACATGGAGCCATACTTAACACAGCAACACAAGTTTCATGATTATTCATGATTATTCATGACTCAATACAATTTAAATTCTATAATGATTCAAATTTATTGATATTGAATTTTAAGTACAATTTTAATTAACTGAATGTTCTCCATTGGTAATTGCTTAACATTACCTATTACAATACTGTTCAATGTTTAAATGGAAAGACTAAATAGACAGAAAAGCTTGCTGGATTTTTTTAACATCATTATAGACTAACAGTAATAAGTTGCAAATCAGGGAATTTATGTAAATTTACGTCTTAAAATGCAAAAGATGTATACAATTGTGGTACATACACATTAACATGAATTGTATTTTCTCATGTCCATTTAAGAAATACATGAATCATCAATGTTTTCAAGTAATGATAACCATCACTCACAGTCCACTATGTTAAAAAAAAATACTATTTGATCCCTAAAACTTATAATTTATTATTTTAAAAAAGCCTCCACGCCTATTGCAACATTTTTGTTCATGGGCATAAATGGTTCTAAAATTTACAACATATATATTTATTTTTTTATAAGGTAACATCTTAAAGTAGAAAATAAAAATTGTGAGTTTAATAAACATGTTGCCGATCATCTGAAAAGATATCATATTAGTCTTGTCTATGATGTCAGTTTCAAATTGTGTGCTTGCATGAGAAGATCCAAAACAACTTGGTTCCATAAGAATCATACTCTTGTCAATTCTCCTTCACTGATAAACATAGCTGATTCTTGCTGCTGATTCTTCAGTCTTTTGGGATATTTCAGTTCTAGTTGTTTCTTTGTTAGACCTGTAAAAATTGTACGCTCTTAATGAAAGTTATATTTTAAATGAGTAGACATTGACAAAAAACAAAACAAAAACAAACAAAACATTCAGCAACTATCTTCATAGTTTCAAAGTAGGTAATCTATACGTCTAGTATCCCTGTGATGACTTAAGTTTCAATTTATGTGAATAATTTTGATGTATAAATAGAAACACAATCGTTTTCCCTGAATTCAATAAGCTAGATAATTAAAAAAAATATTAAGTTTAAATACTTTATAAAAATATTTCCAGATAATATCGGTACTTTTTGCCTACTAAGTAATCTGTGAGGACACGGATTGTGTCAAACTCTGTCAACTAACAACACTGTATACATAATTCTAAATCGTATTTTATCTCCCTCTTGTTTCATTCTTGAGAAAAAAGCAAATGCCTTGCCAATCTCATTTTGAAATTTGAACAAACCAAACAATAAATAGGGCCATAAAAATATAATTAATTTAAGAACATATGAAACAACCTTGCAGGTTGTGCACACGATATCCATCCCCCGATTGTAAAGTATAAAACAGATGAAAACTTACTCATGTTGTGAGCTGATGAATGCAGGCGGAACAGTGCTGGTCTTTCTGTGGATGTTGTTTGGATGGTGTGCTTTTAAAATATAACCTCCAATGCAGTCTATATTGTAAATTCTCAAGTTTACAAATTTCTATCGCCCACCGAAAAACAAAAAGGCCGCCATCTTTTTAGCGGGTGGCGAGGCAATTCGTATCAATAATTTTTCACACCCTTTTTATTCAAAGATTTTTTTAAAGTTTGTAGAAACGTTGGTATAAATATAATTAAAAAAGTAAAACTTTATTTAATGGTACCAGTCCACGATTAACTAGGCCTATTTATTTACCATTTTTTTATCAAGGTACCCCAAACAAGAATACATTGTCGGCCAATTAATATTACGGGTATGATTTGAATCGCAACCTCAATCGTTTTTAGAAAACGTCGTTTGATTGGACGCTTCTGGTAGCTGATTTATAACATCGTTACTGATTAGTTAAGCAGTTACGCGAGCGCCAAATTTTCAATAGATTGAAAGGAAGGAAGATGTGCATTGCATTGTCAGAAGATTGTCGATAGATCTAGATTCTGTCAACATTTTTTTAATGGAGTGTTAACTGTTATATTCATCGAAAGGAAGGACTGCCATACAGAAAGCATGTGGTAAGAACATAATTTTTTCATTATTTTGGTTCCAAATTTGTTGATTACGTATGGCACACTTGTTGCACGCATGCCAAACAAACGTGATTAAAAAAAAAAATAACTCGGAGAGAAATATAATTTCAGTTATTGTTAAATGAAATGAATTTTAATGAAATATATTCAAAAAATTTATTTAAAAAAACTTGTGTGTTTTGGTCTCAGAATATTTTTTTTTATATTTTATAATAAAAAATGGAAGGGGGGGGGGCATACACACCCCCATGTGCCCATGGACTAGCTCAAATTGAAGGGAAAAAAAGGAAACTTGATTCTAAATTGAAACTAAAATCATTTTTAAATTTTCTTTACTGATTAGAACAAATTGACTTTGACTCGTCTCTGAGGATTCCTGACTCTTTATAAATTAAAGACCAAGTATTATGTATAAAAGACAGGTAATTCCTATATTTTTTTCTGGCCTCCAGTTGCAGCATCACCACAATTCCCATATTATTTAAAAGTATCCTGTTCCCTGTAATATTTATTTCTATTTGGCATATCATTTATATACATGTATATGTAATTTCAGGGAGAGTGAAATGAAAAACAAGGCCTATTGTAAAAGAGCTAGAAAAAAAACCACGTCATGATTTAAAGGATGGATTTCAATTTTGGATGAATTAGTGAGTGATCCAGCAGACACCCATAGAGAAAAATTCATTTTTGGAATGTCAAGAAGCAAAGTTGACAAGGATAACAAATGCACCACAGGCATCTGACTTACTTGAACGTGCCATAAGAAGAACACAAGCGCTGTTTAAGATTCTGAAACTGATCCAGGCTGTACATGTAATTGTTTAAGAGTGTGTTGGCTAAAAAGCTGTATACATTTATAAATTCAATGAATTAATTTAATACATAGCATTTAGTTTAGAATATTGTAGTCATTATTTATAAATTATCAAATTTTTAAATAGAATGTTTATGTACATGTATTTTGAGGGTACTCACAGTGGTTTTGCCAATTTGGCCTTCTGTCAAATTACGTAATTCAAGAATAATATTCTCAAAAAGTTCCTGAAATGTTCATGAAAGATCTAATGAAGCTAAAATTCACAGGACACTATGATTTCATGAATTCTATAAGGAAGTTCATGAATTTTCAAGAGTAGTAAGTAATTCATGAACAACCCACTATTCTTGAATATTCTTGAACTTGGTTTTCATGAATAAAATTCATGAATTCATGAGTGTCCAATTTTAACTTCATAGGATCTTCATGAATATTTCATGAGCAGATTCAAGAATATATTTCATGAACTTTTCTTAAAAGTTCAAGAATTATTCTTGATACTCTCGCAGGGGATGTTTTCAACGTGGGGGGGGGGGGGATCCAAAATCAATTTTTATTTGATTCAGTATACTTTTAAGAACCCTGCAAATTCCAGGGGGGGGGGCGACCATCTCCCCCCCCCCTTAGATCCGCGTATGAGGATCTGCTTTATACTCACTATGCATCGCACACAAAAATCCCTGACCGTTTATATTATTTGTAAGAATAAACCTGACTTTTTTTTTTTAATAAGACCAGTTACATTTTGAGATTAAAAAAACATGTATGGTACAAACTTTCAAATAGTACACGATTATGCTGGGAAACTTTTCATAGGAATTAATCAGTTAATCGTCACTTGATGAGTGAGTGTTAGATTGATATCGATTTAGGTGTCCAGTGTAACAACGAATTTTGCTCACTATATTCGTTAATTGTTATTATATCTGAAATTAATTATTATTATATATATTATATCTGAAAAGAAGAATATTTTTCCTGTGACATTTTCTCACAGGGGATCGTGGAAAATGTGTTATTTAGCCTCGTCTCTGCATACATGTCCGCAGTTCAATTTCAGGTTTTTTGTTTCTTCGGGGGAAGGGGTGTGTATACCTGAAATAACCTGACCTTAAACAATTTGTATCGAAATTTTCTTGATAAATTGGGTTCACGTAAAACCAAGCATACATGTATATTGAATTGAATTGTAATTATGTTACTCGCCCTGGACATTTTTTCTGTCGCAACTTATGCACGAATTTTACGGAACACTCAAGAAAATTATCATGTGAGAAAATTAACATTAAATCAGCTAGAAAAAAAAAATTACTCGGTGTTTTCTTAATCACTGTTAATGCCGAGTTTGCAGTATTAAAATCCTCATTTCGGCAGTAAAATTTGTTTTCTTTGATCGCTTAAAATGATTTTAAAAAAAAAAATAATAATTCTAAATAGGGACAGAACTCCTTATATTTAAAACATTTTTTCTATGGAGGTAAAATGTAATAGATATATCTGACAGTACAAAACAAAATAAAAGATAAAAAATGAGTAATCGGTCTGTAAATATAGGCCCCCCTATAGTCTTGATCCGCCTATCTACTCTTTGTAATCTTTCGACACGTAACGTCACAATGGTGGAAGTGACGCCTCGGTGTATACTTTTGTGTGTTTATGTAGACAGACGAACCAAGACTATAAAGTTAGGATATGTTTTGTGTTATTCTTCTGTGGGGATTATTTTACGGGGACTCGGTGAATATTTATTGTCGCAAAGATCGTAATGGAATCCTTTCCGTTGAGTGACTCAAAACAGCAAATAAAAGACGAAGGAAGTGTAGAATGTGTGTATTTTTGCGAAAATACACCAAAATATTGCATAAACAACTAACTGAAAGGTAAATTCAATCATTGATTCAACAGCTTCGTGCATTAAAAGAAAAAAGGTCGCATATAACAACAAGAATAAGTCTTAAGATTTTTCTCAAATCTCAGCTTACGTGAGACGAATCTTAAAAATGTTGGTGGCATGGTATTTTAGGAAAATCTCAGGTGAGGCAGAAATCTAAGATTTGAAGTTGAGATTTGAGCTGAGATTTTTACATGTTGGTGGCCCCGAAGCCAGATCATAACGATGAAAATAAAAATTCGCCTGAGCGTTCAGATGATACATATACATCTCAAAGAAAAAATTTAACACAGTCACAGCATCTTTAAAAACAGTTAAGAAATGGAAGCAAGAATTCTAAATTCCCATAGGGTACACAAAAGATGGTGATACAGTTATCACAATTTGGATTTTTGATCTGTGATAAGTTTGCTTCTTATAAATTAATATCGGTAAATTATACAAAAGTAAAAATGAGATTCATAGATTGAATACATTTTGAGCTCAAATGAAAATGGAATATAAGTGTCTCTTTTCATTCCAACATATTAACTGGAAAATAAACACAAATATCTATTTATTTATATTGTTTAAAAATTTTAAATTGCTGCAGGGCATGGCTCAGTTGTATAGATACAGCGAGTAGAAAAAACATAAATTCCTCTTGTTGCAAAAAAGTAAATGTAGCAGTATCACTTTCAGAAGAGATGGCATGCCCATTGAGCTGTACTTGTAATATGATGCATTGAAAAAAATCTCATCTCCAAATCTTTCACAGTACACTTCATATGTACATTTCTGCTGCAATAACTTCTCTCTTTACAAGTGTTTTCAAGTTTCTTATTTCTTGAAGTTGAATTGGTTTACATGATTTTCTTTTTCTTTTGAGGAACTAATTAAAAAAACAATAAATTAAAAATTGCTATAAATATTCTTCCTAAAAAAGTAAACGTAACAAGCTACGAAAAAAATTTCTGCATGTGAACGGTGAATAATGGGATTGAGACATTTATAATGATAGACTGTAATCACTGTAAATAATATAACTTAAAATGGGGAAAAGTACAGGCAAATAAATAGATAAATAAGATTTGTTACTGAGTACTAGATTTATATTTTGCTCAGATCCCTGATCATCCTATTAATCTCCTTCTTTTTTGGGCAACGTAGCTTCATTTATCAGCTTAATTTATTTTAATCTATGGATCATTACATTATACTCAGGTGACCATTAAGGCCCCTGGGCCTCTTGTTTTGGAGATGATCCATGAAAAACTGCCATTAGCTGGTATTCGAACTGAGAGTTTTTCTCAGCCCATTCTCAGTCTCTCTGTCGAGCAGGAAACTTGATAAAGGATGAGAAATAAACTTATATTTTACTGAATTTTCTGCTAATTAAAATATCCACATCCTATTATGATTTCTGCAATAGTATCTTACAAATCATCTACTGAAACATCCGCAAATTTTCTGCTAAAACATTAATATTTTTTCACTTAAATATTCTGTCAATTTGCAAAATTGTCCATTGCCATCTGTGTCATACAGAGAACATTAATTCAGTTAATATTATATTTTTAATATTTGTACATTTTCTCTTTAATTAGATCCCATATGTTATGCCAATTTTTACGGAAGGTAAGTATAAAATATGAATGTATAAACCTATGCATTTAATTTTGGCCTCAATTTTGAACATATTTAATGAAATAAGAACTTTTTCAGAAATTGAAAATATGCCTCTTTTAAAATGTATTTGATTTTCTGGAAATAAGTCGTAAGCTTGAACTTTTACTTCATTAAAAGTGTGATAATCATATTAGCTTACCGGTATACATTTAAATGATGTTTCTGTAGAACACGAGCTCCTCCCACCACCACCACAGTCCAAACAACAGCTCCTCCAGTGTCGGGGTATGTATCGGTATAAGTCATGTGAATGCAAGTGTCAGATCGTGATATTTAATCAATGTTGATGAAAAAATTTTGTGTGAATTAAGATATATATATTAATCAAGTGTTTGTCAGGGCTCTAAATTCCTCCTCATTGCTTGGTGTGACATTTTTTTCCATTAACCAGCTAAAAAGTTTTATAGAAATTTAACATTTTATTTGTATTAAAAACTTTATTTTGCAAGCAAGATTCAGATTCCAACCTTTAAAAAATGTAAATTAAAATCATAAAAAGCCAAAGAAATATTGCAAAATTAAAAAGTTACTTTGATATTGCAAGAAAATTTAGTCAGCCACAGGATTTATGACTGTCTCACAGCAATTGAAATTTGTGTACTTTTCACTTAACACATATATATATTTCTCTGTATACACAAGTGCTGCCCAGGGTTAAAGTTTAAGAGCAGGTCTCATTTCCAAGTAACTACAAGCCCTATTTTGACCAAACTTGCACGGATGATACATCTAAGGTACAGTCCCTGAAACATTCTACTTTCCCATTTTTCCATTCACTCACCGTTCATTCACCATTCGTTCACCATGCGTTCAGCGTTCGCTCTCCGTTCACAGTTTTGCATTCAGCGTTCACAGTGCGCTCGCGTTCACCGTTCACAAAGCTTTCAGCATTCGCTCTTCGTTCGTTCACTTTGCATTCACCTTGCGTTCAGCATTCACTTATCATTCAGTCTTCACTGTCATTCGGAACTCCGAAGTGAAAAGACTTATCTTTTTGTACAGTGTAAGTAAGGATTTACAGCTTTTGCAACTAAATAATAACATATCGTGTTTAAAGAATCATTATTTCATGGGGAAAATTATCTACAATATTTTTTTTTATTGTAATTGTAACTTAGTTTTTAGGTTATTTGTTAATTTACTCTAGAAAATAAATGTTGTTATAAGTATGTACCTATGTAGAACGATGTTGAAAAATTAAATTTTAATACGGAAACAATATACAGATACTTCAAGCACTACAACATTTTGTTGTTATGTCAAAGACGACAAATCGTTAATGGAGAGATAATAATCCAAGTCAATTAATTTACCAACTGCAGCAAAATTACGAAAATATTTTTTTCTACCACTTTTTTTCAATTACTATAGAAATAAATATTAGAACTAGTTCTGAGAATTATAAATAGTACTGCGGATATCCAGTTAATTGAATATCTTTAGAGAGAATAAAATTGATAGTGTGGTTTAAAAAAAATTATTTAAAAATTTAATACACTACAGAATTTTTTTTCTACTCTACAAATATATGAAGTCTATAGTTAGAGAGAAAAAATTCCTTCCTTCATGATCACCGTAACTGTTTATGTTTGAAGTTCGATATGTGTAAGAGCCCCCCCCCCCCCCCCCCTTTTTAGGTCACCTGAGTCACTCAGGTGACCTATTGCTATCTGTTTTTGTCTGTCGTCGTTCGTCGTACGTCGTTCGTCGTCAATCGGTCGTAAACTTTTGAACATTTTTAGCTTCTTCTCTGGAACCACTGAACCAATTTCAACCAATTTTGGCATATAGCATCTATGGGTGAAGGGGAGTAAAAATTGTGAAATTCATGGCCCCTGCCCCCCTGGGGCCTGAGGGGTGGGGCTAAAACCACCAAAATTAATGCAATCTTTAAAAATCTTCTTCTTTACTCCTGGACATCAAGCAGTCAAACTGTTGGCATGATTGTAATAAGCATTGAGCCCTCTACCAAAATTGTGAAATTCATGGCCCCAGAGTCAGGGGTTCTGGTGTTAGGGTGGGGCTCTAATGAAGATATAGTGAAAATGCATTAATTCTTTGAAAATCTTCTCCTCTGCTCCTGGGTATTAAGCCGATGAATAAAGTACATAGTTATGATGAGCAAGAGTGCCTCTTCCAAACTTGTGAATTTCATGGCCCCAAGGTGAGAGGTTCTGGTGTTAGGGTGGGGCTCTAATGATTATATAGTGAAAATGCATTAATTCTTTGAAAATCTTCTCCTCTGCTCCTGGGTATTAAGCCGATGAATAAAGTACATAGTTATGATGAGCAAGAGTGCCTCTTCCAAACTTGTGAATTTCATGGCCCCAGGGTGAGAGGTTCTGGTGTTAGGGTGGGGCTCTAATGATTATATAGTGAAAATGCATTAATTCTTTGAAAATCTTCTCCTCTGCTCCTGGGTATTAAGCCGATGAATTAAGTACATAGTTATGATGAGCAAGAGTGCCTCTTCCAAACTTGTGAATTTCATGGCCCCAGGGTGAGAGGTTCAGGTGTTAGGGTGGGGCTCTAATGATTATATAGTGAAAATGCATTAATTCTTTGAAAATCTTCTCCTCTGCTCCTGGGTATTAAGCCGATGAATTAAGTACATAGTTATGATGAGCAAGAGTGTCTCTTCTGAAATTGTGAATTTCATGGCCCCTCTTGGTGAGGGGTTCCATGTGGGGGGGGGGGATTTTTTTCTATATACAGTGTACTGAAAATAAATTAATGCTTTGAAAATCTTTTCTGCTCCTGGGTATTGAGCTGATGAACTAAGTACATAGTTATGATGAGCAAGAGTGCCTCTTCCAAAATTGTGAATTTCATGGCCCCTTGGTCAGGGGTTCCATGTGTGGTGGGGTGGGGAGCTAATTTATTATGCCCCGCCATGAATATGGCCGGGGCATTTAGTGTTTGTCATGTCCGTCTTCCGTCCTTCCGTCCTTCCGTCTGTCCTTCTGTCACACTTTGCGTTTAGCTCTGTTCAAAGCTCAGTTTCAAAGAAACTATCCAAGATATTTTTATCAAACTTCATATGCTGATAGATATTGATGAGGGCTATGCAACTGCATCAACATTTTTTTACCTTGACCTTTCCTTTGACCTTGACCTCACTTTTCTTAAATTAGTGTTTAGCTCAGTTTTAAAGATACCATTCAAGATAGTGTAATCAAACTTCATATGTTGATACATACTGATGTAGGCTATTCAATTGCATCAACATTTTTTTGACCTTGACCTTTCTTTTGACCTTGACCTCACTTTTCTTAAATTAATGTTTAGCTCTGTTTTAATGAAACCATTCAAGATATTTTTAACAAACTTCATATGCTGATACATACTGATGAGAGCTATTCAACTGCATCAATATTTTTTACCTTGACCTTTCCTTTGACCTTGACCTCACTTTTCTTAAATAAGTTTTTAGCTCAGTTTTAAAGATACCATTCAAAATAGTGTTATCAAACTTCATATGCTGATACATACTGATGAGAGCTATTCAACTGCAGCAACATTTTTTGACCTTGACCTTTCCTTTGACCTTGACCTCACTTTTCTAAAATTAGTGTCAAACTTCATATGCTGATACATACTGATGAGAGCTATTCAACTGCATCAATATTTTTTGACCTTGACCTTTCCTTTGACCTTGACCTCACTTTTCTTAAATTAGTGATTAGCTCAGTTTTAAAGAAACCATTCATAATATTTTCATCAAACTTCATATGCTAATACATACTGATGTAACCTTTTCAACTGCATCAACATTTTTTGACCTTGACCTTTCCTTTGACCTTGACCTCACTTTTCTTAAATTAGTGTCAAACTTCATATGCTGATACATACTGATGAGAGCTATTCAACTGCATCAATATTTTTTGACCTTGACCTTTCCTTTGACCTTGACCTCACTTTTCTTAAATTAGTGTTTAGCTCAGTTTTAAAGAAACCATTCATAATATTTTCATCAAACTTCATATGCTAATACATACTGATGTAACCTTTTCAACTACATCAACATTTTTTGATCTTGACCTTTCCTTTGATCTTGACCTCACTTTTCTTAAATTAGTTTCTGAATCAAACGTCATATGCTGATACATACTGATGTAAGCTATTCAACTGCAGCAATATTTTTTGACCTTGACCTCACTTTTCTCAATTTGTGTTAAAATGTTGCATTACTAATATACCCTTGGCGGGGCATTCATGTCCTATGGACATATTTCTAGTTATATATGAAAATAAATTAATGCTTTGAAAATCTTCTCCTCTGCCCCTTGGTACAGTACAATTCGTTTTTTATCATACCGGTTTTATATCATACTTCTTTTTTTATCATAGATATTTGAAACACAAAACCATTTCTTAATAATTCATTGTAAATTTCGTCTGTTATTATCATAGGTAAAAGTGTAAACTTCGCTTACTGTAATAGAAAATTTTCGTCCGTAATATTTTTTTCACACCTTTTCACTCTTGGGACAATCAACAAAACAAAAGATAACACCTATCTACACCTGTGGTTCATGCACTGTCACTTGTCTATACACAATGGCTTGATTGGGGAGATTAGTCACACTTCAGTGCACTTACCTGAGTGACACGAAGTTTGTTTATTTTACAAAGTACATTACATAACAACACAATACCATTTGCAATCTTATTTTCTTCTTTTGTTTATCCTGAATTGTACATTGATAATAAATGTGTTTTACCAAATGTGTTGAAACTAAATTTTGTGTCAATTAACCCAGTGACCTATATACTAACGTTAGTATATATAGGTCCCTGATTAACCCAAGCTTTCTTACGCTTGTTGCCTGATCAATGTTCATAATTAATTACATTTATAAAACTGCCCCATTAATTAAGAAGTGAGGTTTTTATGTCTACTTTAGTTGAATAAAAGAAATGAATTTAAAAAAACGAAATATTGGTAGTTTGAATTGATCATATATTTAAAAATGAAAGTAGATGAAAATGAAAATAAACAAGATGGATGCCAAGGGATCTAGAAGACAGTTCGAAGTTCTTCTAGAGAGTTTGAAGAGTAATAAGCTTTATTTAAGTGAATTTATTTATTATGGAAAGTTGAAACAGTAAGTAAATATTGTGAAATGATATGTTAATTAATTTGTATTTCAAAAAAACTAAAAAAAACTGAAATTACATATAACATAACATGTACAAGAGAAGTACATTCAATAATTTATACA